GAAGATGTGAAAAATGGGATTGCAGCCATGCATCTTTGTCAACTATTTTGTTTTCCTTGCTCAGACCCTCTCTCCCCTCTTGCTTGGCAAACGACTTCACGTTAAATGTCGTTGTTTTATTGACATGTGGTAGTTCTTTAATAATTGACAGATTTAATATCTGTCATGGCAGTAGAGTTGGTGCATCAGCCTTTTGGGGTGAGCACCTGTCTCGAGACATTTAAAGACACACTGAGATTGCCTTGGTGAGTGAAGAGTTTGTGAAAGGTCACCATGCAATTATGTCAGGAACTAAACCTTTCCTCCATGGCTGTGGAGGGGAGGGGGGAGTTTTGGCATCTATCCCACTCTAAAGCAGTGGTTTAAGTACTATAATTTAAGTTAAGAGTAAGATAAAAGTATGCCATGTTGAGTTTCTCTATCTATGGACATGCATAGATCCTTTATGGATGGATGTTTTGTCTCGCTTTCACCGTGCATGCCCATTGACTTTTCTTTTTTGTTCTGCATTTCGTTTCCTCCCTTCAGCATGCCGTTTGCTTTCTGTTCGCTGTTTCCCCGGGTTTTGTGAGGGTGGTTTTGTGCAGGGGTCCTTTCGTAGAAAAAGAGCTAGGGGAACTCATTAGCATAACTCATTAGCGTATGCCACACCCCCTGACATTACCGGAAGTGTGTCATAAGGCCACACCCCCTGACATTACCAGAAGTGGGTCATAAGGCCACACCCCCTGCCATCACCGGAAGTGTGTCATAAGGCCACACCCACCACTCAGTTAGTCTTAGTCTTAAAGGTTAGTCTTAAAGGTGCTATTTGTTAGTCTTAAAGGTGCTATTTGAACTCTTGGACTATTTTGCAGCAACAGACTAACACAGCTACCTCGGGGAAGCTCCTGGATGGGGCTGGGAGTCATTGCGGAGGCCACGTGGAGTGGCCTCGGCCAGGCAGAGGGGGAGGACGCCAACTTACCCTCCTGCTTCTTCCTCCTTCTGCAACAGAATGAGGCTGAAAGAAGGGGGTGGCCGGAAGAAGGGGGCGGGGCTTCATTATGTGCCCCACCCCCCTGCACCTCACCCGGGGGAACTGCGATCCCCCACAATCCCCCCCGAATCGACCTCTGGTTTTGTGGCAGTTTTTTCCTTGCCTCACTCCCAAGCTGAAGGTAAGTCAAGAGCATACAGATTTCCTCAGATTCTCCCTGTCCTAGCCCCTTGTAGGCCACTCCCATGCCTACATTTTAATTTTTTTTCAAGTGGCATGAGTCTAGTGATGAGAGACCATTGGTAGTCTCATGCCACTTGTAAACCCCCCCGCAAATAACGATTCTCTGCTGGGCTGGCCTCTCCTGCCACTTGGTTTGAACCAAGCAGCACAAGAAGGCAGCACTGAGCTGTGCCTGCCAGGAACCACTGGCTCCCCACATGCACAGTGAGCCTGGCTGGGCTGCCTTTCCGTGCCACCCGGTTCAAACTAGGTGGCATGAGAAGGCTGCACAGAGCTCAGTGTATTCATTCTGGGCTGCAGAATAAATACACCGGAGGAAAAGAATGGTGCATATGGTAGGAACAGAATCTGAATGGCTTAAAGGCTTGGCTGCTCAGATTTTCTGCAGTAAGCTGTGCGTGCGTAAAGGGCCATAGTACAATTATGAGGCTCTGTAACTGGAAACCCTGGTTCCCTTTCATAAATGTTTCTCAACTGTCATGGAATTGTAATTCACACAATGCATATATAGGAGAATGAATCATAGGGACAAGAAAAGTTCTAGTGGCTTCACCAAGAATGATAAGACAACTCTAGAGAGCTGCTTGGCCTAGTGTTTGCTATTATTCTTGACTCTGTCCCTGAATCCTGACTAGTTGACTTTCACACTTGCCCTCCTTTTGAATTCTTGCTTTAATGACCTGACCTTGTCCCCAGTGTGTCCAGGGCCTCTTTTCTGGTGATTGTGAATATCTTCTTCACAGATTTTGGTGGCACAAAAGACTCACAAGCTGCAACACAAATTTGTTATTTATTTCCAAGGCATGACCTGACTCAATAGTACAAGCAGTTTCAATCAGACAAAGCTATTTGGTGTAGCACCTGAAATGAATTTAGACCACAAAAAAACCCAAACAGCTAGTATATATCAAAACACCAGCAGACTCCATTGTAGGGTTGCCAGCTTTGGGTTGGGAAATACCTGGATATTTTGGGGGTGCAGCTTGGGAGGGTGGGGTTTAGGGAGCAGAAGGACCTCAGCTGGGTATAATGCCATAGAGTGTATCGTCCAAAGCAGCCATTTTCTCCAGGATAACTGAACTTGGTGATCTGAAGATCAACGATGAGGGCCAGGGCCTTTTCAGTGGAGGCTCCTTACTGGTGGAACGAGCTCCCGGAAGAGATCAGGGCCCCGCAGGACCTTTTACAGTTCCACAGGGCCTGCAAGTTGGAGCTCAGGATGACACTGAGCTGGAATTCAGCTGTTGGAGACATCTGTAGCATGCTACTGTAAGAAATGAATTGTATAACTAATAGCACCTTATGATTTTATGGTTTAATCTGTTTAGTACTGTTTTATATGGTTTTATCAGCAACTGGTGCCACTACTGTAAGCTGCCCTGAGCCCACTCGTGAGGATGGCGGGATATGAATTGAATGAATGAATAAATAAATAAATAAATAAATAAACTGTAATAGTGGGAGATTTCCAGGTGCTACCTGGAGGTTGGCAACCCTACCATGGAAAAGGTTCCTCCCCCGCTCCCCCCACTTCTGCAGCCCACTGAGAGTGTCATCCTAAGCAGAATTACCAGAGCTCTTTTGGAACTCCTTTGCATATTAGGGGACACACTCCTAATGTAGCCAGTCCTCCAAGAGCTTACAGTAGCCCCTGTAAGAAGAGCTCTGTAAGCTCTTGGAGGATTGGCTACATTAGGGGGTATGTCACCTAATATGCAAAAAACTGCTGAAAAAAGAGCTCTGCTTCTAATTCTATAACTTCTATAACTTTATTTTATTAAACTTGTATCCTGCCCTCCCCATAAGCAGGCTCAGGGTGGGGTCCATCAACGTTAAAACAAAATACAATAACAATTAAAACCAATTTAAAACAAGATTAAAACAATACAATAATCATACAATCATAAAATACCATGCAGAATCTAATCAGTAACTCAGTAGCTAAAATGATGGTATGGTTCCCAGATAGTTGTTCAAATTCAGGACTCCATCTTGCAGGCCCTGCAGAATTGTAATAAATCCTGTAGGGCCCTGATCTCATACGGAAGCTCATTCTACCTGACTGGGGCCAGGGCTGGAAAGGCCCTGGCCATAGTCAAGGCAAGTTGGACATCCCTGGGGCCAGGGACTACAAAAAAAGTGTGGATTTGTAAATCTCAGTGCTCTATGGGGCTCCTATGGGGAGAGGTGGTCCCAAAGGTATACTGGCCCCTGGCTTTGCTTAGGATTGTATTTTTCATCACCTAAAATGTTGTCCCTAGGTGTTGGCAGACCCTCAAAAAGAGCATAGTTGGTAAAGTGGAAGTCTGCAGTATAGGGTTGCCAAATAGTTTTTACCTGGCAGCAGGGGGGGCCTGTTCGGTGCCTGGAGCATGCGCGTGCGCATGAAGCGTGCGCGCGCCACATGCACGTCACCCAGATGTGACGTCATGACGCTGGGCATGCTGGGGGCGGGGTGGGCCCGCCCGCAGCGTGCCCGGC